TAATCAGACATGATGTCTCAGATACTCAGGCTGATGATTCATTTGATCTCTGGGACCTGGTTCTTTGACCCCCTCTTTAAGTCAACAAGACGGGCTCACTTATTTTTTCCACGGCTCCTAGGGGCAAGACACCGCATCAGCCATCGCAGCTTTGCCACCCTCTGCCTGATCCACCATGTGACAAAGCCTTATCTTAAACTCCCACCTGTCATGAAGAGCACACCCCTGGAACAGGTAGTAACGGGAGCCCAGGTGGTGTAGTGGTTATGCATTGGGCTGCCTAACTGCAAGGTCAGCAGTTTGAAACCACTAGCCTCTCCCTGGGAGAAAGTTCGGGGAGCTCACGGGGTAGATCTGGCCTGAGAGTTGGCAGGGACTCGATGGCAGTGAGTTTCGTTTTGGTTGAATGTCCTAAGTGAGCGCTTTATATTGACCACACTCCTTGTAAAACCCCGAGTAGGAACCTACCATTACTCTGTTACCCAGAAAGTGAGCTGGAGGACCAAACAAGTGCCAGGATTTTCCCAAGGTCACACGATAAGAGGAGTCTGGGAGAGCGGCTTCAGAGCCTGCTCTTAACTCTCATAAGCATTGCAAGGTGGAATTTGGATGAACTGAATGAGAGTGGAGTCGATCCTTGGACAACATGGGGGTCAGAGGCACCAAGCCCTTGTGCAGTTGAAAGTCCCTGTATAATTCTGACTCCCTGAAACTTAACTTCTCATAGCCGACTGTTCTCCAGAAGCCTTAGCGGTAACAGGAAGAGTCCACTACACAGAAGCCTTAGCGGTAAGGGTAACAGGAGGAGTTCATTACACAGATTTTGAGTATTTTATGCATCATACACTGCACCCGCATGAAATGATGCAAGACTTCCTAAGTTTCCTTTCTTTTTTCACAGTGGTCCATATGCTGGCCTCCTTTGTCCTGAAACAGAGGGCAACCACAGCTGTGGACCGCAATTGAGAGTACTTTTTGATGAATTCAGGTTTTCCCGGGAAGGTCATGGCTTTTCTCCGCTTGCTGCCAGAGAGCACTTTCAGCACCCCTGGGTGCCCTTTGTATTCTGCCAGATGTTGTCATTCAAGGTTTACAGTATTGCAGTCAACGCGGTGAAACATATTTGAGAATTGCAAAATCATATTTTTGTGTGTGTGTGATATGCAATTTGCTGGGGTGAGAAATTGCTAACTCATATGGAGACGATAGGGGACCACAGCGTTTTTGTTTTGTTTTAATTTAAATCCACGTTTGAGTGGAGCCATGCAGTTCAAGCCTGTGATGCAAGGGCCAAACTCCCTGCCATGGAGTTGATGCCGACTCAGGGAAACTCCACAAGGCAGGGTAGAACTGCGAGCAGGTAATTCTTTATGGGACTAGAAAGACTGGTCTTTATCCCTCGGAGTGCCTGGTGGTTTCAAAGTGCTGACCCTGTGGCTAGCAGCTCAACGAGTAAACACTGCGCCATGAGGACTCCTCAAGGGTCAACCGTTACTGGGCAAAAGACCTCGGGGGCACAGTGGTTGGAGCATTTGGCTGACAACCAGGCTGGCAGTTGGAACCCACCAATCGCTCTGTGGGAAACAGATGAGGCTGTTGGCTTCTGAAAAGACACACAGCCTTGGCAACCGCTCTCGGTCCCTGTAGGATTGCTAGGAGTTAGCATTGACTCAGAGGCCAGGGGTTTTTACAGTAAATGCTGTTATCCCCCTCCTCCACCACCACCACTACCAATGTCACTGCGCTACAGAGAAATGCTATTCTAATTCAGATCGACAGTCTCTCCAGATCTCCAACCTCACTATCTCACCCTTGGCCAAACTGGACTCTACTTCCTTTGAACTTAGAAAAGTGTTTATTTATTTGGTCATTTGAGTCTCGCAGATCCAGCGGCTCTCTATAGCCATTGAACCTGCCCTTCACTGCAGCTGACTCCTGTTCCTTTTCATGAGCAGAGAAGACCCAGGAACAGAGAAGTTCTTTTAATACAAATGCACATTGTCTGACAGAGGCCCTGAGAAAACTTTGTTTTCCCCCTCATTTGACTGAGTCTTTTAATTTTTATAATAGCAAACATTTCTTTGACCGTGTACCTTTTCTCATTCACTCCAAATCAAGACAACTGCGATGGAGCTGATTCCAACTCACCTTAATACCGGAAGACCACGCAGAACCAGTCCTGCGGGGGCTTGAGATTAGACTGTAGTTATTGTTTTCTCCTCAGTGTCAAACTTCTCCTTCAAAGAGCCACTCACTCTTCCAGGAAAATGCCCACTGCATAGGTGTTCCTAGAATAGCTCTACTTTTCCTCCTCTGCAAACCCAACATGCTCTTCCAGACCCAACCTGCGCCTGCCTCACTTCCTCCATTAATAGTGGAGATGGATTCTACGAGTCTTGACCAATTTCCTTCTCAGCTGAGCACTCTTATAGTCAATGTTATTACAGGGCTCCAGACTTGGATGCCCTCCCCCACATGGGTAACTCTTTTTTAATGAGAATATAAAATGCCACAAGAACCATATGCTAAACATTTACAGCTCTCTCGCTGTCTAGCAAAATACCAAGGCCCTAAAACAACTGCCCACTCTTCATCTGTCCTAAAATGTAGGCTTATTTCCCTGTCTGATCTTGTAAAATACCAAACCTGAATCTCACCGAGTCAATGCAGTGACAACCTCCTTGCGTTGGCTGCAGCCCTAATACTGGAAATTTCCCTATGCCACCCAAGCATTAAAGCTGCGTTTTGTCTAATGGATGTCTGCACATCAGCCATTTTGTTCTTGTTACTACCTCTCTAAAAAAAAATAATGCAATCACCACCTGAACAATCTTGGAAGTAGATGTGGGATATATAAGCACAGGCAGTGAGTGTTGTACCGCCAACATTTCCCTGCCGCACTTACAGTCCCCTTCCGTAACGGCAGTCTTCCTAATCAGAGAAGGCGTCAGGGGAGGGCTTCCTAGTGCAAATGTAGTGTATGCCAAGGATCTCAAGAAAGGAGAATTCCAGTTTCTAACTTTGCCACCACGGGAGGGTCCTGTTTTCCTGGTATGTTCAAGTCTTACTTCCGTGGCTCCTTTATTGTTTTACTTTTCTTTCCACACACATTTGAACGCCATACCTTTTCAAGAATGAACACTCCACGCGGGTGTGTTCGTGGTTTGTTTACTCTCTTAAGTCCCCATACGGGTGTGTTCGTGGTTTGTTTACTCTCTTAAGTCCCCATGGTAAAGATAATCCTACTTTAATTTACCACAAAGCAAAGAATCAATGCGCACCCCTGGAAAATTCTTGGTTTCCTTGACCACAGGGATGTCGGAAAAATAGAAATCTCGGAAATGGCATGGACTGTTTTAAAAACGTTATTATTACTCAGTAGAAGATTGCTCTGTGGTGTGTGTGAAAGCACACTTTTGCAGTCTGTGACTTTTTTCCCAGGACTTTTTTTTTTGTTTTGTGGAGAAGATGACGTTTCTCCAGATGTTTTCCGGGTAAGAATTTAAAATAAACACAGGAAAAAATAGCTGAGTGATTTTTATTTTTTCTCACTCCACAGTAAGGCAATATGGCATCTTGGCACAATCAAGAGTCATCTGCAGACCAATACCATTATGCAGGTCCTGGGGTAGAGAAGGATACTAATCACAGGACGGCGCTGATCTGTGGCAGGCCATGCCATGCCGTGCGGATTAACTCGGTGCTATCCACCTTTTCAGGTTGATGCTGCTGTTCGGAACGACTCCCTGTGTATTGTGAGGCTCAAGAACAGACTCACATGCCAATGCACAGGAGACAGAGGACACGTCGCCCATGTCACCCAGTCAGTTCTCTCTGGACATTAGATGTTAAAGAGGAAACAGCCTATCTCTGATACTCGGACAAGAGCCTGTTATCTTTTCCCATCCAAAGGTCGGCTGAGGACATGGCTGCTGCCTTACTGCCATTCCTTTGCCATGAAGTTTTCCATCCATTATACAGATTATATGGGAATTTGATTAGACAGTGTTCGGAAAGACTCTCAAGATATCAGGTATCTGGAATTTCCTTCAGGCATCTATTGATTAATTGAATCACTCAAACAATTAAAACTAAACAAACTCAGGAGTAAAGGATTTCACTATTAACATGTAGCTTTCTAGTTAATTTGCTCTAGGAAACTACCACTGTCAAAATGTTGAAGACAAGCAATGTCACTGACGTTTCAAGGAGTCTGAAGCTCTTCTCTGAAGGGTTAGCATCTAAAGACCAATATCGGTGGGTGCACAGAGGACATACAATGATCATTAGCATCTGAGGCCAACAAGGATTTACCACCAAACCTGTATCAAGCACTCTACCTGACATTGATGCATGCTATCTGTTAAAACTTACATCAACCCTATAAAGAACAGAATTATCTCCATTTTCTAGATAATTAAAAAGAATTTTTTTTTTTAATTTCAGAAAATTGAGATAAAGGGAGATTAGCTACCTTGCCCAAGGTCACACAGGGACTGTGCAACAAAGCCAAGATTTGAATCCATGCCTGACTGCAGACTTTGGTACTGTGGGGCCATCCCAGCTTTGTTTACACCAGAAGTCTTCTTCAACTGAGTACAATCCGAGTACCAAGTGCAAGCTAAACATGTCTCAAATATACATATATTTTCAGTTGCAGTGTAATATTCTACTTCTTTGGAACTAGTCTCAGTAGTGTTCTTGAGCAGAGTCTACGGAAGCAGAGGCAACATGCCTGGTAAATATCTAAAGATATATACAACACTGAACATAAACCATTTTCTTTCTAACTCCAGGCCAGCAATTTTACTACCCCCCACAACCCAATACTGGGTTGACATTTTTCCCCATTTCCCTTAAATAGAATCAGATTACATATGGCGCTTGGAGCCACCAAAACTCTGTGCCACCCAAGATTACTGTGACTTTTCACGGAAAGGAACACAGCCCCACAATTTCGCAGGGGCACCTTCTTATTTCACTTGGAGAAACAAGCTTACCGCTGGATGTAAGAGTTATTCACGCCGCGGTGATCCAGGTCATGGCTCAGCGCAGCAATGAGCAATGCAAGGGTCTCCAGGTCAGTCAACCTGCCCTGTGGGGTCAGAGACAATGGGGGTGGGGGGAAGAGAGAATGCATTATCTATCCTTATCTCAGTAATCATGTGTTTAGGCTCAGGATTTAATGAATGTGTCTTATGTTCACACAAAAAAAACTCAAGCTAGAATCATCTTCGGTAGGGAATCCAGTGTCATGCTGGATGGGGTTATTAAAATGTCACTCATTGTAGTAACTACCACTAATTCTCAATTATCCATCTCAATTGCATACATATATACATGAAATACTTCAGTAGTGCAAGAGCAGCCCTGGTGGGATAGTGGGCCAAGCACTGAATTGCCAACCACAGGGTCAATGGTTCAAACCCACCAGCTATGCTGCACGAGAAAGATGAGGCTGTCTGATCTCATCAAGCTTTAAAGTCTTAGAAACACAAAGGGGCAGTCGCTATAGGTCAGAATTGACTCAACGGCAGTGAGGTTGGTTTTGAATCTGGTGGGTGCCGGCAGTGAAGTACTAGACAACTAATCAAAAAGCTGGCACTGAGAACCCACCTAGGGGCACCTGGGAAGCCAGAACTGGTCTGTTCTCACAAAAGTCACCACCTAGGCAGTCCTAAGGAGCAACTTTCTTTGCCCCCACGAGACAGAAGCCATGTGATGGCAACTGACAGCACCACCAACACAGAAGGGATAAGCACAAAACTTTAAATAATTGTTTCCTCTCTGACTTTTCATACCCTGCACACTCTGCTATACGTTACTGTATCCTCAAGGGAGGTAAATAGTGAATATTAAGCAAAACAACCGAACAAAGATAACTAGAAATGGAAAAAATGAAAACATATCCCCCAAAGGCAAATAGCGGTTATTTCCAACATCTGTTATATACATTCTTTATGCTACTTCCCTCCTTTATTACTAAGAGAGAAACAAAAAGTTGAAATCACGAGTGTCTCCATTCTGCTGGAATTCTCAGCTCTGCATAGGTTGTATGACGCACGCACAAGGCCTCATTTTGTCATTCCTAACAAGATGCTAGGGCCGCCTTCCGTGGTGGTAATCCTCCTGACCTTCCCATAACCCCAATAAACGGAGCCCATTCCTTATAAATGTCGTCTGTGACAGCAGGAAAATGAGGTTATGGCATTTCATTTCGTTTCTCTGAGAGCATTTTACCTCCTTTAATGTCACAGAGACAAAGAAAAACACTTTTTAGAACTTATTCAAGAAAAAAGAAAAACAGGTAAAGGCAAGGAAGCTGTGAAATAAAACCGGATGCCTAGAGTCGCTCACCTGGACGAAAAGTCGGGTCTTACTGAAACTGGGATCTAAGGGCAGGGCTATGAATGGAATTGGGCCTGGAAGGGAATTACGGTGGGATGAAATTTCTTAATACGATTCTCCTACCCATGGGTCTTTCATCTTGTTATCAGATGTCATCGAGGCAGTTCCAGCAATAGCAATGTTATGCCCAACAGAAGGAAACACTGTCCGGTCCTGCGTCATTCTCACAACTGTTCCTACACCTCAGCCAACTGTTGCTGTCATTGTGTCAGTCCATGTCCTTCCTCAGGGACTGGTCTTTCCTGACAACACGTCCAAAGTATGTCGTTTCACCACACTTGCCACTAAGGAGCCTTCTGGCTGTACTTCTTTTCCCAGACAGCCGGGTTTGTCCTGTTGGCAGACCACTTTTCATACTCTTCTCCAGAACCCCGATTCAATGATAGACTCTCCTTCGGGTTTCCATACTCAATGTCCAACTTTCACATGTAGACAAGGCAATCAGAAACACCTGGCTTGGGTCAGGAGCACCTTAGCCCTCAAAGTAACATCCTGGCTTTTCAATAGTTCAAAGAGATCTTGGGCAGCACTTTACCCAATGCAATGCTGTCTCTGCGTCTCTGCTTTTGTTAGGTGGCACCAAGTCGCCGTCGACCCACAGCATCCCTAAGCACAGTAGAATGAGACACTCCAGGGTTCTGTTCAAGCTTCACAATTGTCCCTATGCCTGAGCCCACGGAGGCAGCCATTGTATCAATCCATCTCGTCCAGGGCCCTCCTCTTTTTTGGCGCCCCTCCACTTTAGCACACATGATGTCCTTCTCCAGGGACTGGTCTCCCAATACATCCAAAATATGTAAGACAAGTCTCCCCATCCTCGCCTTTAAGGAGCACTCTGGCCTTACTCCTCAGAGTAACTGCTACCAAACGACTGGCTGGGACTATGTAAATAGGGTGCGTGTAACACTAAGAGAGGGTCCGTTTTCATTACTAGTCCCTGGCTACAATATAAGGGGTGTGTGAGCCATCTTGGAAGCAGCTGTGAAGAAGAAACAACTAGGACCTTGGAAGAGCACATTCAGGAGCTCTGTCTCAAGTGGCAGAGGCCACTGAGAGCAGATGCGCCCCAGACTGTGGCCTGGAGACTGAGGAGCAGCACCAAGACTGTGGGTTATCTCCCCCGCCCTACGTGGCATGGATGTCGAGTGGTATGGGAGAAAAGGTCGGTGCCAGAAAGGTAAAGAAGGACGGATCATAGAGGCTTGTCTGACCCCAGCCTCGTGGTGATGAGGAAGCCAAAGGAGGTCAGGTACGTCTACCTCCAGTGCTAGTTGTTGCAGGAATCAGTGGGTTAAATAGTTCCTGCATTGCAGAGTCAATGGATATGAGAGCAAAAGTCTTTGATTCAGGTTGTGAGGTGCCATCGAGTCAGCCCCAACCCACAGTGACCTTATGCACAACAGAATGAAACACTGCCCAGTGCTGCGCCACCCTGACGATTCTTCCTATGCCTGAGCCCACTGTTGTGGCCGCTGTGCCAGCCCATCTGCTTGAGGGCCTTCCTCTTTGTCGCTGCCCCTCTGCCTTGCCAAGCACGACACACTTCTCTAGGGACTGGTCTCTCCTGACCACATGTCCAAACTATGTGAGGTGAGGTCTCACCACGCTGGCCTATAAGGAGCACTCTGGCAGGGCTTCTTCTAAAACTCATTGCTTTGTCCTTTTAGCAGTCCATGCCCTTTCAACATTCTTCTCCAGCACCACAATTCATACTTTGATTCTTCTTTGGTCTTCCTTATTCAATACCCAACTTTCACGTGCAGATTGTGGCCAGGGAAAATCCCATGGCTTGGATGTGCCTCAGTCCTCAAAGTAACACCTTTGCTTTTCAACACTTTAAAGAGGGCTTGTGTAGTAGAGCTACCCAATACAAGGCATTGTTTGATCTCTTTTTTGACGGTTGCTTCTATGAGCATGATTGTGCTCCAAGCAAGACAAAATCCTTGCCAACTTCGATCTTTTCTCCATTTATCATGGTGTTACCTGTTGGTCCAGTTGTGAGGATTTTGGTCTTTTTGACACTGCGTTGTCATTCACACTGAAGGCTGTAATCCTTGGTCTGCAACAGCAAGTGTCTCAAGTCCTCCTTATTTCAGCAAACAAGGTTGTGTCATCTGTAATCCACAGGTTGTTAATAAACCTTCCTCCAATCCACATTCTTCTTCATATAAGTCAGATGCTCTGATTATTTGCTCAGCATACATACTGGATATATAGTGAGAGTACCTGAGTTCTTGTAAAATTGACTGATGGACTCAGTTCATACTGGCAAGAGTAAATAAGGATCGGACAGGAATAGGTAATGTTTCATTACGTGTCATATAAGGTTGAAATAGACGGCAAGTGAAAATCGACTTCAGAGCAAATACTAACATGAACAACAGGAGATGGACCGGGGGCTCTGAAGAATAGAAGCCTCTGGCACCCTGGTCTCCAGAGTTCAGAGCTTTATAGAGTAGGTGGACCATGAGAAATAGGTTTATTTTTATCTTAATAATACTGTAGAGTTTTTCTCAGAAGAAAATCAGGTATTTGCCCAAAGACTAGTTGAGTGTAACATAAATTAAAAAAAAAATTAATATGCCACATATATTACATGACATTATACATATATTACATATTACATTACATATTAGTAATGAAGTATTGCTAAGCATTTAGTATTGTCATACTAAAATAACTGTACTAGATTTCCTTAAATGAGCCCTAGTGGTACACTGACTAAGCAATCAATTACAAACAAAAGGTGAGGTATTCAAACCCACCAGGTCAGTCCATGGGAGCTCTGGGGGCCCTTCCACTCTCTATAAAGAGAGTTGCCTTGAGTCAGAATGGGTGCTACAGCACAAAAGGCTCCTCTAATTAAACATGGATTGTTAAGTAAACAGGAGTAAATATTATTTTCAGTTATTAGCACTCACTAAAATAACCTTGGAAAATATGCTGTCAGTTTTCACTATTAAAGCAATAGCATCTCTTAAATACAGGAACTGTTTTTTTAAAAGTACCTGAATTTTGCCTGCTTTCAAAGCAGCAAACATGCACTGAGCTGTATTGAAGGCATGCCTCCAATTATGATAGGCAACGTTCTTCCGATAATTCTTCTTGACGCTTAAAATCCAACTGCAAAGAACCTGTCGGAAAGGAAAGCACAACAACCGTGGCTGGCACCGATCATTCATTAGGCCTCAGGCACAGGGTGAAGTGCTCGCACTTAATCCTTCTATTTTTGTGAGGGGGGGGGCCAGAGGGGGGGGGCAATCACTATGTTCAGCTCTCTGCAGATGAGGAAAATAGCTGGAGAGGCAAAGCACTTCCCTGAGGCCATGCTGACAGCAAGGGGTGGGGCCACACCTCAAACTGGGGCCATCTGACTCCCATGACCACCATCCACCGTTGTAACCCCCAAGCTAACTCAATTACATGTGAAACCCAAGGCATCTCTAAGACAGTTATTTTTAGCATGGGCAGGGCACATACTAGCTTTAAAGAAGATATTATGTCCACGCGTCATCAATGAAATCAAACAGAAGACCCCACTGCCATTGAGTTTATTCTCACTCAGAGACCCAATCTATATAGTGCTTCAGAAGCTTTAAATCTTCACAAGAACTGAGAGCCTCCTCTTTCTTTCAGGGAGTGGTCTGTAAGTTGTGAACAGCTGACCTTGCTGTTAGCAGTCCAACATTGACCAGACAGTGCCACTAGGGTGTCTCTTACTAAAATAGCCCCTCCAAACAGATAGTCACACATGTTGTCTTTGTTGTTGTTAGGTGCCATCCAGTTAGCTCCGAGTCACGTGACCCTAAGCACAATGGAAAGAATGACCACAGGGTCCTACGCCATCCTCACAATTGTTCCTGTGCCTGAGCACATTGATGCAGCCAGTGTGTCAATCCATCCCATGGAGGGCCTTCCTGTTTTTGGCTGCCCTTCCACTTTACCAAACATGATGTCCTTCTCCAGAGACTGGTCTCTCCTGACAATATATGCATGGTCTATAAGACGAAGTCTTGTTATTGCCGCTAAGGAGCAATGCTGGCCTTACTTCTTCCAATACAGATTGGCCAGTCTTTTTAGCATTCCATGGTACTTTCAATATTCTTTTCCAGCACCACAATTCACACATGTACCCACATGTAAATTCAACTTTGGGGACCCTTGCTCCCATTTTGACCTTCTAAGGCAGTATTCAGTGTAAGGCTTTGGATTGGATTGGGGTGGGGATGGACAGGACTATAGCACATAATCCAGGACAAACTGCAATTGCAAGTTTGTCTAACACAAGGATCTAACACAATCCTTGTCACTTTTAAACCATGTTTAAATATTCAGGCAGAGTTATTACTGGGTAATCAAGAAGTAATCAATAACAAGAGTATATTTCTATGTTACGCAGAATATTTGAACATCTACACATATTTGCATTTTGCAAATTGCATTTGCAATTTCCACCATATCTCCAAGGTAGGGGGGTGGGATGGGGGTATGACCACTACTCCCCATGAACAGATTAGGACACTGAGTTGGTGTTTATGAAAACTGATCTAATCACTAATAGAACAAATTCCAGTAGGACACAAAAAAATCCATGATCTTTCTACTCTACCATGCTGTCTCAAAGTCTTCATTTGTAAAATGAAGAAAGCAATTAAAAGGAGCCTTTCCTGAATGTTTTTGTAATGATTTAATGAGACAATATCCCTAAACCAACACATTCTTAACAGGAGAGAAGCATCGTTAGACCAGAGTCAGTAGATAGTTGTTTCTTGTTTTCACCCAAGAAAGAACAGAATAACCTTTAGATAAATTCAAGAAAGAATTAGATTCAGGGGTCCCAGTAAGACTACAATGATGTCGCTGTATTGACCTTAGTTTTCATGCTAACAGTGCCGACTGAGAGAGCAGGGAAAACTCATCACTGACAGGTACACCCTATAAAGGGCTGGGTACATAGTGTAAGGTCATACATTTTCATGGGAAGAATTAATGACTTGCTGAAAAGTAAAGATCTTCAGCCATTCCAAATTCCTGGTAAGAAAGTTGTATACGGAGAGTAGATATTGAACTGATTAGAAAAAATAACTTCAAAGGCAAGATTACGGAATCTTGTGGGCTCTGCACGTGGCACTGCTAACCTCAAAATCAGTAGTGTGAAATCACCAATGGCTCCAGGGGTCTTTCTACTCCCATGGAGAGTCTTGGAAACCCACTAGGAGAACAATTCTAGATGACCTACATAAAGACCTTTTTATTCCGAAATCGTTTTATTAGGGGCTCATACAATTCTTACCACAATCCATACATACATCAATTGTGTAAAGCACATTTGTACGTTCATTGCCCTCATCATTCTCAAAGTATTTGCTCTCCACTTAAGCCCCCAGCATTAGGTCGTCATTTCCCCCTCCCTCCCTGCCACCCCCCTCCCTCATGAACCCTTGATAATTTATAAATTGTTTATTTTGTCATATCCTTCCCTGTCTGACATCTCCCTTCACCCACTTTTCTGTTGTCCTCCCCCAGGGAGGAGGTCACATATAGATCCTTGTCATTGGTTCCCCCTTTCCAACCCACTCTCCCTCTACCCTCCCAGTATCGCCACTCACACCACTGGTCCTGAAGGGATCATCCGCCCTGGATTCCCTGTGTTTCCAGTTCCTATCTGTACCAGTGTACATCCTCTGGTCTAGCCAGACTTGCAAGGTAGAATTCGGATCATGATAGTGGTGCAAGGGAGGGAAGCATTTAGCAACTAGAGGAAAGTTGTATTTTTCATCGTTGCTACATCGCACCCTAACTGGTTTGTCTCCTCCACAAGACCCCTCTGAAAGGGGATCTCCAGTGGCCTACAAATGGGCTTTGGCTCTCCACTCTGCACTCCCCCACTCATTCACTATAGTAAGATTTTTTTTGTTCTGATGATGCCTGATCCCTGATCCCTTCGACACCTTGTGATCGCACAGGCTTTGTGCTTCTTCCATGTGGGCTTTGTTGCTTCTGAGCTTGATGGCCGCTTGTTTACCTTCAAGCAATAAAGACTTTTTTTTTTTTTCAATAAAGACTTTTTAGAAAGTCTTTTCTGATCTAGTCCTATCAATGTATTTGAATTATGGTGCTGACAAAGAATGTTGAGAGCACCATGAATTGCCAAAGGAACAAACAAATCCATCTTGGAACGGGAACAGCCAGAATACTTCTTAGAAGCAAGGATGGCTCAGACTTTGTCCCACATACTTTGGACATGTTATGAGGTGAGACTAATCCTTGGGAAAGCAGAGGCAGAGAGCAAAAAGAAGGCTTTTGACCAGATAGACTGACACAGTGGGCTCAACACAACAGCTGTGAGCATGGCATAGAACTGGGCATGTTTCGTTCTGTTGTGCGTAGTAGGATTACTGTGAGTCAGAACTGACTCAGCCCCCTAACAACATCATAACAACAACCTAGCCCTTAGTCTGATACGATATACTTACATCTCACTCACTGACCTAGAGGCACCCCACAGCATAGCAGAACTGTCCCCGTGGGCTTCCAAGACTTTAACTCTTACAGGAGTGGAGAAGGCTTCTTGTTCTACCAGAGCGGCTGAGGGCTGCCCACTACTGACTCCGAGGTGAGCAGCCCACCGTGAAGCTCACGATACCACCAGGGCTCCCACATCCCTACACAGCTACCATAAAACAGTGGGCTTCCCTTGTCCCTTCCAAATGATACTCAAAGTTCTTGCTTTTCGCGTTGCTGCTTTCTGAGAATAAGGTAACCAACGGACTAAAGTCATCTTTACCCCATGGGCTTCACTATGCTGTTCCGATCAAAAGTCTGCCACCACATCCAGCCCCTGACTTTCCCAGGGCCAACGCCTACACGGATCATTGCTGCCTTTATCTCGGGAGCCAGATGTTCCTCTTCTCGCCCTAAAATCCCTCAGTCACTTGTCATTGTTTTCCTTTGAATGGTCCACAAGGCTCGCTGTGTTTGCGTCTTACTCTTTTCCACTTTCGCTCTTACCCCTCTCTCTGCCTCAACCAGTGCGCACATCCTTCATTCCCCAACTCTGTGCCTTTGCACCCTGCTCTCCCTGGAGTCCTCTTCCTCTAGCCTCTACCGGGTGCTGGAAACATGACAGGAGTCCTTCGGATAGTTGGTCGTTTTTGTTTAAGAATAGGGAATTCCGATCAAGTGGTGGCATAGGTCTTACTGCGGCTATAACAGATACCACAAATTTACTCTCCTGATTTAGGAGACTAGCAGTCTGAATTCAGGGTGCTGGCTCTAGGCAAACAATTTGTCTCTTTAGCTCAGTGCTTCTCAACCTTCCTAAGGCTGCGACCCTTGAATACCGTTCCTTATGTTGTGGTGACCCCCCAACCATAAAATTATTTTCATTGCTACTTCATCACTGTAATTTTGCTACGGTTATGAATCGAGTGGCTCCTGTGAAAGGGTCGTTCGACCCCCATAGGGGTCGCGACCCACAGGTTGAGAACTACTGCTTTAGCTTGTTTCCTCCTTTCTTGGGGATCTCTAAGATATCCATCTTGACATTGATCTGTTTAATATCACAAAAGAGAAAGACCAAAAAAAAGAGTCAGACACACACACACATACAGAGAAAGACATAGATACAAGATACAGTCTATGCTAACCGTCCCTGATTAACTTAACAAAGACAACACATTCCCACATGGGATTAAAACCACAGGCACAGAAATTAGGATGTGATATATTTGGGCTGGGGTGTGGTGGGGCATAAATCGATTCATAACATCATGTTGGTCATTGAAGCTTAAAAATTCCTATTTCCTATTTCTATTAGGAACGAGTCATTTCTTACACATGCACGCAAGCGCACTTTGCTCCACAGCTCCTACCTCATGTTTCATCTGGAAGTTCTGCACAAGGTTGAGGTCGGTGAACATCCGGATTGTGCACAGGGCCGTTTCCAGGTCGGACAGCTCAAAGTCACTGAAGCTGAAGTCAGTGATCCTCAGTCTCTGAGCAGACGGAACCACAGCAGCCTGAGGCAGGTGTGAGGAAGAAAACAAAATAAAGCCATTCATCAAAGCACCGGTGATCCACAGAGCTTCCCCATGTTGCCACAGGGAAATCAAGTGTCTGTTTATTTTCTAGTTTTAATGTTGTACAGCTGCTTTTTCACCGAAGTACTTTAGCTGAGAATGAACAATGGCTTTCTGGAAGGCTAAACAGGTTGAGCCTCATACTAAACATACCTTTTTTTCTGTTGATACCCTTATCTGTTAACTTAATATGGCTATTGTAGGAACGGTGATTCTGTGAGCCCTCTGTGAACACTACAACGAATTATAAAACCCAATAAAGAGGGCCCCCGGGGTGAACAGCTGCTATCAGACGTGGTTAAGAAGTCGGAGAACGAAAGTCTTTTCACCTCCTGCCTCAGAGAAACCTGCTTCACGCGGATTCTGACCCCGAGTCAGGACTTCACCATGGCAGCACAGCTTACTAAGGACGGGAGAGAGGATTCCAGCACCAGAGGCCCCACTGCTCTCAGAGTGGCTACAACCCCTACCCTGCAGTCATTGAAAGAACCTTGTCTCCCACGATACTCTGGTCCACCTTGATATTAAGAATTACCTGGGGTGCCTACTAAAAATGCTCACTTGGAAATTCTGATTCAGTAGGTTAGAAAGTCTGGCTTTATTATGATTATTTCTTAGAAGAAGGGACATCTTTGCTTTTGAATCCTTTATCAAGGTTTTTAGAAGCAGATTTGCCCAGTGCAACTCTTTCATTTGATTTCTTGACTTTTCCATTGATTACACATCCAAGTAAAATGAAATTCTTCACAAATTGAATCATTTCTCTGCTCCTCATGACATTGCTTATTGGTCCAGTTGTGAGGATTTTTCTATGTCTGAAGATGTAAGCCACACAGAAGGCAGTTTTGATTTTCACTAGTAAGTGCTTCAAGCCTTCCTGGTTTTCAGCAAGCACAGTTGTGTCATCTGCGAATTGCAGTGTGTTGATGACCCATCCTCCATGTGTTAGAATAAATCTTTATTAAATGAACAGAAGGGCAGAAGAGTCATTCCTCTAACTCAACTGGAGTCAACAAGCTCTGTACAGAGAATTAAAGTCCATGGAAACAGAATAAACACGTAAAGGAAGTTTCACATGAATGTTTTGAAGCTCCCTTGGGCTGCTAACTGCAAGGCCAGCAGTTTGAAACCCCCGGTCGCAGCACAGCAGAAAGGGAAGGCTCTCTAAAGGCTTTCAGTAAAGAGCGAGTCGCCGAAACCCAGAGACAGTTCTACCCTGCCCTTTGCGGTTGCTGTGAGTTGCAATCAACTCAATGGCAATGAGCTTGAGTTTTTCGGGTTAAGTTTTTTTTGGTTTAAGGTCCCAGAGTTTCCTCGGAGGTGGGGAGCATTAACCAGAGCTCGAAAACTGGATTTACAAACTGCTTGGTACAGTGTTTTTCTAAAATGTCAAGAAACTTGTTATTGTGTTGTTGTTAGTGGCCATCAAGTCAGTTCCAACTCATGGTGACCTAATGCCTAACAGAACCAAACACTGCCTGGTCTGAAACCATCTTCAGAGGCTCAACAGGCTGGTTTGGGGATGGGGGGTGGTCTACTGTTCCGGCTATTACTGAATCCATTTCCCTACATACTGCCTTCCTTCACACTGACCGTCCACCCCACCAAATACAATGCCCTTTTCTAGCATCTGGGCTTTTTCCCTGGTGACACGCCCAACGTAAGGGAGCCAAAGGCTCATCCTTCTCACGTGTAAGGAGCGTTTCAATTGTACTTCTTCTAACACTAATTTCTGCGTTCACAGCGTATCACACATTCTTGGGCACCACCAGAGTTTGAACGCATCTATTACTGTTTACATCGTCCAGCTTTGGCACGGGCATGGGGCAACTGAAAAGACTAAGGCTTAGGGGCACATGCACTTGAGCTGTTCATGTGATGTCTCTGTTATACTCTTAAAAAGTGAGAGAATTTAACACTAAAATTTAGGATTTCCAGGTTTTCTGAAAAAGTGCAGGCCCATGAGCTGCACATTTCTCAAGAAGCAGCAACTGGTGTGGGTGCAGGGCCCCAGGATTGTAGTACCCCCTCCCTTTATCCCCCTCCCTCTGACCATTCGCCCTCAGCCTTCTGTTTCCGTTTTTAACTGCCTGAGCCAATCTGACTGAGATGACCCTGACAAAAACGGGCTTGAAGTTGGTGTGATGCATGGCGGCAAGAAAAATGAGGTCCATGATTAAGCTTCTTCTCCTACTTTAATGTTTTTCACCTGACTCACTCCAAAGCCCTCGCTTTCCCATGAGCATGTGGGATATCAGGACTCTGCTTTGCACTGTCTATTTTGAAGCAAAAAGGTTAAAACACTAAATTTATACCGAGGACTCCAAAGCTTCTCTCACAGATCTGAGGGCCCTGGCTGAGCCACTTTCTCATCATGGCCACCAGATTTCCACAGCATATTGGGGTATGACAAGAAATTTTTTCCGAAGCCAAAATTCACAAGAAGATATGCCTTCTGGTAAGTTAGTTCCACAGACTCAGGAGGAGCGGAAAGAGAAGAGGAAGAGACAAGGGTTTAAATGTTGGCATACATGGCTTTGCTGTTGTTTACTTCAGCCATCAGCATCCACACAAGTGGATCTGGGGCTCAGAAGAGCTGAGGTGGGAACAAGGCACCTTCCAAAGCAGAGCAGGCAGCAGCTGCTTTCGTTACAGGCCCCGCACTTGAGGAGGGGAACAGATGGTCTTTTCCTTAGGACATCATTGTTCTTACATCAGGAAGCCTGCTTTCCTTCACAAGGAGATTCTAGAAGGTACAAGATTAACACCAGCCAGCAGCACAGCTTGCTCATCTCTCCGCTCCCCACCGGAATTCCCATATCCTCTGGATTGAGAGACCATTGCAGTCTCTGGGTTACAAATGTCTGTACTTGCCCTTCAGTGGCATAAAACTCTGTCCTCACCCTGAAAGGACTGAATCACCCCTTCACTGAACTATGATGAAATTCATCCACTTTCACTGGAAGATGCTTTAAGCCTTTTCTTGTGCTAAAACAAGAGCAACACCAAACTGAAAGCTGCCAAGTGGGCTCTGACTCACAGTGACTGCACCAGCACCCACCCAACTCCCACCGCAGGGGGCAGGGTGGGTTTCCAAGGCTGCCATAGGCATGGAAACAGACTGCCACGTCTTTCCCCAAGGAGCAGCTGGTGGGCTTCAACTGCTAACCTTCGGGCTAGCAGCTGAATTCTAGCAGCAGGGGGTTTCAAACTGCTGACCTTAAGCCCTGCACCACCAGAGTGTCCCGGCACTAAGAAACCCACTCATTTCCATCCAGTGGAGGCCAATTCATAGACCCTACAGACAGAGTAGAACTGGCTTCCTAATGTTTCCGAGACTGTAAATCTTTACAGGAGCCAACAGCCTCAACTTTCTCCCAAAGAAAGATGGTGGGTTTTGAACTCGCAACTTTTTAGTTGGTTAGCAGTCTAACACTTAACCAAATGCACCAGTAGGGCTCCTATCTCACACTCATCAAGCAAGGCTAAATAGGACCTGTGCACCTGTTCAAACTATG